GTTTTTGCATTTTCTACCTTGCTGTCATTTAGTGCGTTGCTGAACACCAACTCATACTGTTCTTTCAGGATTTCACTCATTTCCTGTTCATCGTTAGTATACGAATCTCCTCTCAATAAAAGTCAAATTCTACAGGTAGTTCTTAGATTGGATTCTGCAAAGGAATAGAAATACTTTGGGTTTCTTGTAATATCCTGTATGACCCTTTGTGCTTCTTCTGTTAGGTATGACATCAAGTTTTTGCTCTAATTCAATGATCTCTTGTCTAAGACTATCTTCCCACTAATGCAGCATATCTGTGTTTTTAAGCAATTCAGTAACCCATTTTCTTCTTCTGTACCATCTCCTACGCTCTCTCTCTATATCTGATCTTCTGGGTTTCCTCAATGGTATGTGCTTCATACATACCTTGTATGCTTCTATATTCAGCTTCTCTAGACACTGGTGGGGATTTAGAGTGCTCATGTCTGATTCCCAGGATATGTCTGATAGCTCTTGGTTTATTTTTTCCCAGTCAATTCTATGGTTGTTAAAATTAAACTTACTGAACATCCCTTCTCTAACATTAGTGATGTAGTTCCCTAACCCTGAGTTAATACTCTTTTAAACTTCTATGATGTTGTGATCAGAGTACAGGAGGGCCCCGCTTTACGGCGTTTCACTTTACGGCGTTCCGCTAATACGGTCATTTCAAATTATGACCAAAACTCGCTATACGGCTCCCCCCACCTGACTTTCTAATACGGTCACCGCGCCCCACCCTGTTTGTTTACATTCTTCGTGAGCTCAGTAAGCACTAAGTCTCTCCATTTTGTCTGGAAACTCCAAAATTTCAAATGTTTTTAAAAGTTATTTCATATTTTATATATACAGTGGACCCCCGCTTAACGATCACCTCCAAATGCGACCAATTATGTAAGTGTATTTATGTAAGTGCGTTTGTACGTGTATGTTTGGGGGTCTGAAATGGACTAATCTACTTCACAATATTCCTTATGGGAAAAAATTCGGTCAGTACTGGCACCTGAACATACTACTGGAATGAAAAAAGTTCGTTAACCGGGGGTCCACTGTACTCTGATAATTATACTTATGTATACCTGTACTTAAATAAACTTACATACTGTGCTGGCATGCAGGTACACATTAAAATCAGTAAGAGTGTCTTATGTCTCCAGACGTCATATTAGTAATGATTATAATAATCATCGAGTCTCATTTAAATGTCGTATATTATGTTAAATACACATTTTCATTAATCCATCTATGATATTTTTTCAAAATTATATAATAAACACGATACATAACATAAAAAGATGATAAATACACCCCACAATAGAATAAATAAACATAAATATGAGATGTGGTAGCAGACGACTTGCACAAGTGACGCCATATTAGAAATGATAATAATAATAATAATAATCACCGAGTCTCATTAAATGTTGTATATTACGTTAATATACACATTTTCATTAATCCATCCATTATATTTTTTTCAAAATTATATAATAAACACGATACATAACATAAAAAGATGATAAATACACCCCACAATAGAATAAATAAACAAATATGAGATGTAGTAGCCAGATAACTTGTACAAGTGATGCCAAGAATAACATTTTCTCTAATCTAACGTAAGAGAAAATGTGTTACTAGGGGTAACTGTAGAAAATTATTCCTTTCGTATGTATGTAAGTAAGTTTATTCAGGTATACACAAATACAGTTACACAGATTATCATACATAACAACATATGTGTAGAGAACCTAGGATAACCCAAAAAAGTCAGAGTGACTTATTTCCATTGCCTTCACTCAGAGCATCATTTCTTCTCAAAATGATGTTACATGAGAATGGGAGTGTTCTTCTTTATTTATTCTACCGTATCAATGTAGAGACAACCTGTACACAATGTAACTTGTACACAAACCAGACGTGTACACTTCGTTTACAAAACTTACCTTCGCCTGGTTTGTTTACATAACTCTGCGCCTGTACTCTCTCATGCACTCATTCTTTCTCTCTCTCATTTATTCGTTTTATCTCATTTACTTACTCCTTTAAATGTAATAGAATATTATGTGTAGGTGGGTTGGCCTGGTATGGTAGCCCGGCTGACTACCATACATACCACACTTGATTTTTTACATTAAATATTACTCATCTCACCCTATATTTTAAGGTAAGTAATGAGTGAACTGTATGTACATTTTATCGCTCTGGGATGCTTAAATATCATAGAATTGTATGTGTGGGTGGGGTGGCCTGGTATGGTAGCCTGGCTGACTACCATACATACCACACTTGATTTCTTACAATAAATACTACTTGTCTCACCCTAGATTAAGACTATAAATATTTTAAGGTAAGTAATGAGTGCACTATGTGTGTATTGTACTTTTTTATTGTTTTTTGATGCCTGGTTCTATTGCTAACTTAATATATGTTAGTGTAAACTTGTTATCTAGTGTTTGTATGCATTTGTAAGTGGAAAAAAAGGGTGTTCCACTTTACGGCGGTAGCCTGGAACCTAACCAGCCGGATAAGTGGGGCCCTCCTGTATGTTGTTTTTTGTAACTGTTATGTCTCTGATTAGTTCCTTGTTATTTGTGAATATCAAATCAGGGCATTTTCATTTCTAGTGGGATCAATTATCTGTTGGTTCAACGAGTACTTTCACAAAGCCTCATTAGTTCCCTGGTACGTGCCTGTTGAGCCAGAGTGCATCCCGGAGATATTTCTGGTATAACATTGTGTTGCGCCATCTTCCATTTTACACGTGGGAAATTAAAATCTCCTAGGAGTAAAATATTTGGTGTGGAATTTTCTAGCCTATCTAGATAGCTATCTATCTTCCTTAACTGATTTGTGAATTTCTCAGCAGTTGCTGTTGGTGGTTTATATACTAGGATAATTACCAAATTCCTATTTTCAACTTTAATGCCTAGGATTTCTACTACATATACATTATTCATAGAATTCAGCAATAGAAAGTATATTTTACATAGAGTCCTACTCCTCCCAGATGACCTATTAATTTTATCACATCTATACATGTTATAGTTTTCTATCTTTATATCTCTGTCCAAAACATCTCTTGTATGTGTTTCTGTAAATGCTCCAAATATGGCTTCTGATAGGAGCCCACTGACATAACTAGCTTTGTCATTTTTATTTGATTTCTTGATTTCAGACCCTGAATATTTACAAATATGAAGCAGGAATTACCATTTGGGATGTTTTGGTTTGCTGTGTTTCGTTAGTACCACTGGTGACGTATTACCTGGTGTACATACCCCTGGTTTCTCCAGTACCGACTTTGCATCTGATTGTGTATTAGGCCCTGATGGGCTGATGCCTGGTTTGCCACGTCCCACTGTTCTGCCCATCTGTAGCATTTCCCTTGTTTTGCCTCTTTCTTTGGTATGTTCGTTTCTCTTCATGTCTAAAACAAGATTGTTGTTCATTTTCCCTTTTCTGCTTTCTCTGTAGTGCCACATTCCTTTTACATGACAGTCTGGGCAATTCGGATCATAACAATCTCTGAACTGTGTTGAAGCTTTGCACATCATTGGGTGGAAGTATATACCTGCACTCTTTGTCAAAGCCACACTTTCCCTTTCTCAACATGTCTGCACATTTTCTGTTGTGTTTATTCCAGCAAGCTCTGCCATATAGGCACATACCTTTTGCACAGTATTTGAAAATGTTCTGACAGCCTACATTTACAGAGTCTGAGTCTTTCCCAAGTTCTGCCACCTGATTTGAATTCTCTCGTTTTCTTTCATCTTGGCATATTTCTTACCTTTTTTCCATTTTTGTTTGTTCCTGCTCTAGCTTTCTCTTCCTCCCTTTAATTTTTCTTTATGTTATATACAACAGATTTTATTTTTGGCCATGTTCACTTCAATTTATCTTATCTTGGGCAATTTTTTGTGATGGGTGGTGGGTTGTTTTGAGTGGTGGGCTAGGGTTATAGGTGCTGGGAATCCATGGGAAGAGGGCTGGGGTGTGAGTGGGGGGGAGCCCTTCCCACTGGTTGGGGGTGGTTGGTGGAGAGGGGTTTGGGGTGATCATGGAGAGGCCTTTCCCACTTCACACAGTAAATAAGGTCATTTGACTTTTTCCTTTTCCTTTACATTATGTTCACTTTATTATTAGCCAGGGGCTCACTACTGGGACAATAGACGGAACCACACAAACACCGATAGAATTATCTGTCATTGCACAACATAACCAAGCTGGTGAAACAGCTCGGGGTGCCAGCTGAGCCAATGACAAGATTTTCAATAGAACAATCAGTTAAAGACCTAAGATGTAATTAAATTTAGAACATTTTATTATCTGGTAACCAAATACATATGTACATGGTAATTTATGCAAAATTAATGTACAGTGCAACTTGAAAACTCTGAGGTCACTGTGAAACAAGATTGACAAATATCACCAAATTTTGTCCCTAAAACTGAATTTTCTACAAAAACAAAAGCTAGTAATTACATTGCTCAAACAAAAGCATAATTCATAATTACAGCGTAATTTATGATATTCTACACTTGTGGTGGATTCCAAGTTAAGCTGTTAAAGCAATAACAGTATTCCACTGTATCTGGAAATGTGTACTGAATTCTGAGCATTCCATATCTGATCATTTGTATTTCTAGCACCAATGAGATGGAAAGACTTCCAATAAACTAAAAACTGGTTCTAAAAATTTTCATTATGGGCTATTCTGCTAAATTTTGAAGGATGCAAGTTTCAAGTGAATTTCAGGATACTTTATAAGCAAATAAAAATAATGAAGCTGAAAATAGAGTAAAAAAGTAATCAGGGTAAAACCATAGGTTATCCTTCTCAGGAATATTTGATACCTGGAAATATTTTCATCTCTCCATCTTTAAATTTACTATTTCGTGCTCAATCACAAAGCCACAACTACAACAGTTTTTATATTAAAACACAACAAATTTATTTCAAACAAGTGTTTAACCCACCTGTATCCTGTTCGTAACAGTGGGAGATATACGACAGAGTGCAGTCACATTGACTGGTCGGGATGGTCGCTTTGGTTCTACTCCGGGCTTGTTGGTGGGGATGGGTGTCTTGAAATTGGTAATTAAAAATATTATTAATTTACACTAGTGTTAGATCCAAACATAGAGATATAGAGAGAGAAAGACATGAATGCTTGAATACATACAGTATTCCATGGGCATATATAGCACATGCAAGTATACAGGTGGCCCGGTGGCTAAAGCTCCCGCTTCACACACGGAGGGCCCGGGTTCGATTCCCGGCGGGTGGAAACATTTCGACACATTTCCTTACACCTGTTGTCCTGTTCACCTAGCAGCAAATAGGTACCTGGGTGTTAGTCGACTGGTGTGGGTCGCATCCTGGGGGACAAGATTAAGGACCCCAATGGAAATAAGTTAGACAGTCCTCGATGACGCACTGACTTTCTTGGGTTATCCTGGGTGGCTAACCCTCCGGGGTTAAAAATCCGAACGAAATCTTATCTTATCTTAAACATGTTGGCCGTTTCCCACCGGGGCAGCGTGACCCCAAAAAAAAAAACTCCCCCCCCCCCCAAAAAAAATCATCATTCGACACTTTCATCACCACTCATACATAATCTCTGTCTTTGCAAGTACACATGGGTATCAAATAAAATCTAACAAAATTACTTTCATGGCATACTTTTGGTTAGTAAATGTATGAGAAGTCTTCAAGAACCACAACAAAGGATCTTACAAAATGTTCTTAAGTATGCTAAATCTGTAAATACATAAATACCAAAGTAGGTTCAGTGAGGCCCAATACTAACTACAGGAGGTAAACCAAGTCTAGTGAATAGCAGGGGTGTCATACGCACAATTAGAGAACCCTATGTCAACATCTATGGCCCACAACTCTCTAGCCTCATACCAGGAGATATAGTGGAACCTCAAATATTGAATTTTCTTCGTTCCAGACAGCTGTTCGAGTGCCATTACCAAACGAATTTATTCCCATCAGGAATAATGTAAATTAGATTAGTTCATTTCAGACCCTCAAAAATCCACTTATAAAAGCACTTACAAAAATACACTTACATAATTGGTTGAGTTGGGAGCAGTTCGATATTTGAGGTTCCACTGTACAAGAAATATTACTTAAATAATTGTAGAAGTGTTCAGGAGGAAACTGTACCCCTTATCTGCTGCAAGAGCTTGATCAGCTAGGTTGTCATGGCCATGTAGGCTTGTGGTCCACTGACAGCAGTTGCCAAGGTGATGACAGTACCAACAGGGAAGACTGGTCTAAGGCTTGAAATAAATTACAGGTTTCCTGTCACCTAGCACTCTTGACAGACACTTAACCCTTAAACTGTCCAAATGTAGATCTACGTTCACTCGCGTGGCACTCCCAATATTTTGAAAAATAAAAAAAATCGCTTTTTTCTTTTAAAATGAAGAACACATTTTCCTACATGTTATAGAATAAAAATTTTTTTTTAGGGTCAGTACTTACCGAGATATAAGACCATGAAGTTGGCACTGGATGCTCAACTGTCGGCAACATCGACTCCTGCCGCTTGCAGAAACTTTGCCAATATACCTTTTTTTTCTCGTTTTTATTTTAATTTATATATCTTTTTATGTTCTGATAATTACAATTTACAATAGTTCTTGTACCTTGTTCTGACACTAATATTAGGTACTGAAATAGTGCTCAAATACTCACAATCACATTGACAGGTGAACATTTACACCTGCCTGGGTTATTTACTATTGTCTAGAAATACATACAAAATATTTATAGGTCCCAGCAATGTTTTAGATACCCTGGCATATACTGTACCTTGAAGTATGTTGTTATGAAAGGCACCCCTATACTGTTGACAGCCTAGTGACATTTGATAAATGCCCAATGCTCCAGCTAACCCTCGTTGTATTTATCACTGTTACACACAAACATGTCTTGTCTCTTTGTCTATTTATCTGTGTCTATCTGCCTGTCTGTCTGTATCTGTCTGCCTGCCTGTCTGTCTGTCTGTCTGTCTGTCTGTCTGTCTGTCTGTCTGTCTGTCTGTCTGTCTGCCTGCCTGCCTGCCTGTCTGTCTGTCTGTCTGTCTGTCTGTCTCTGCTTATTTGTCTTTCTGTCTGCCTGGAGTATAGGATAACAAACTCCTTGAAGAATCATGTTATGACATCTGTTATCAGCTCGGTGACATTTGATAAATGGGTGCTCGGGGGAACCCTGGCTTTATTTGTTTTCACTGATATACACAAACATGTTTCTATCTGTCTTTGCCTGGAATTTCTGGATTATCCTAGGTAATTTACACTATGTATAATAATTGTACTTATGTGTTCATGTGTGACAGAGATAAAGACAGAGATACAGATAGAGATATATAGATATATATACAGATATATAGATAGACAGAGATATAGACAGAGACAGTCAGAGACAGCCAAAGCAGCCCAGCCGGCCAGCCTGCCGAGTACATAAGAACATAAAAAGAAGAAACACTGCAGCAGGCCTACTGGCCCATGCAAGGCAGGTACATGTCACCCCCCCCGGCTTAGACAAATGATCCACCTAGTCAGGTCACATCCATTGACTAGCACAAGCTAGTCAGGTCCAACTCACACCCACCCACACTCACTCATGTATTTATCTAACCTATTTTTACTTTCCTCTTAAAATGGGAGTGTTAATGCGATATGGCATCAGTGAATCCCTGGTGCTTGCTACGCTATTTGCTCTAGCTGGCTCTCAATTGAACTGGTGCTCCCAGATTTTCTTAACAGTGCGCACACTGAGTGCACAGACCCATTCTTTCATGTCTAGGCGACTCAAGCCTATTGTACCAAATTTGGAGGAATGAAAAATAAAACGATCTACGTTTGGAGTGCTACGCGTGCAAACATAGATCTACGTTTGGACAGTTTAACCCTTTGACTGTCGCGGCCGTATATATACATCTTACGAGGTACCGTGTTTGACGTATATATACTCATAAATTCTAGCGGCTTCAAATCAAGCAGGAGAAAGCTGGTAGGCCCACATGTGAGAGAATGGGTCTGTGTGGTCAGTGTGCACCATATAAAAAAAATCCTGGAGCACGCAGTGCATAATGAGAAAAAAAAAACTCCGACCGTTTTTTTTAATTAAAATGCCGACTTTGTGGTCTATTTTCGTATAGTATTTATGGCTGTATTCTCATTTTCTTGGTCTCATTTGATAGAATGGAAAACATATTATAGAAGTAGAGGTGATTTTGATTGATTTTACTATAAAAAGAACCTGGAAATGGAGCTCAAAGTAGGGAAAATGTTTGATTTTTGCCAATGTTCAAAAGTAAACAAATGATGTCATTGTCCAATAAATGTCCAACTAGCCATTCTAATATGTAGTCATGAATGGGTTGATGTAATTTATACAATTATTACAGTATTGCAGTAGTCTGCATAATAGTAAGTCTTCTATTTTTTGTTTGAATAAAAATTCAAAATAGAAAGCAAGAGTAATATCAGAGGGGCCTGGAGACATGACTGATGAACAAAGAAAATGTTATTTTAGAGCCAGAAATGTCTGCATTATTCATTCTGGACCTTATTTTGAAATTGTCATATTTTTTAATTTTCGTGAAATTGGCCAAATTGCAAATTTCTGACCACATTATTGGGTAGTTGAAATCAGTAAATGGGCAGTTTCTTGTACTCAATCGATAGAAAAAATGGAGTTCTAAAGAAATAGCTATGAGTTTGGTCGACTGGAACAATGGAATTAGCCGAAAATAGGGCTCAAAGTGGGCGAAATCGCCGATTTGTAAATATCGCCGAGGTCGCTAACTTCGCGAGACCATAATTCCGTTAGTTTTCCATCAAATTTTTGTTTTTTGGTGTCATTACAATCGGGAAAAGATTCTCCATCATTTCATAAGAAAAAATATTTTTTTTTTTTTAAATTTTGCGACACCAGGAGACTCCTCATGATTGGGGGTTGCGACAGTCAAAGGGTTAAGGGTTAAAAAAGTTGTCCTTGAGCAATGGTATGTTAATTATTCCATATGCCAGAACCTGATATTCTGCAATGTTAGAAGTCTGACAAACCCATGATTCTCTTGGTATTTGTGGAGACAAAAAACGTTATCCATGGAGGCAAAGAAGGGAATGCATGAAAGTATAGTGGTACCAACACTCTTATATGGACGTGAAGCTTGGGTTGTAAATGCTGCAGCGAGGAGGCGGCTGGAGGCAGTGGAGATGTCCTGTCTAAGGGCAATGTGTGGTGTAAATATCATGCAGGAGAATTCAAAGTGTGGAAATTAAGAGAAGGTAAGGAGTTAATAAAGGTATAGTCAGAGGGCTGAAGAGGGGTTGTTGAGGTGGTTTGCTCATTTTGAGAGAATGGATCAAAGTAGAATGACTTGGAGAGCGTATAAATCTGCAGGGAAAGGAAAGCGGGGTAGAGGTTGTCCTCGAAAACGTTGGAGAGAGGGGGTAAAGGAGGTTTGGTGGGCAAGGGGCTTGGACTTCCAGCAAGCGTGCATGAGTGTGTTAGAAAGGAACGAATGGAGACGAATGGTTTTTGGGACCTAATGAGCTGTTGGAGTGTGAGCAGAGTAATATTTAGTGAAGGGATTCAGGGAAACCGGTGATTTTTATATACCTTTGAAGAGTCTCGAGAGTTTATCTAGTCTCTGAGCCCGGCCACGGGCCAGACTCGTCTGGTGCTTGCCTGGTCAACCAGGCTGTTACTGCTGGAGGCCTGCTGCCCCACATATCCATTACAGCCTGGTTATCTGACACCTGGTGAAGATACTTGTCCAGTTCCCTCTTGAAAGCATCTACACTTAATCCAGCAATGTTTCTTATATCTTCTGGTAAGTTGTTGAAGTCTGGGACCCCGGATGTTGATACAGTGTTCTCTTATTGTCCCCACTGCACCCCTGCTCCTCGCTGTGTTTATTTTACACTTTCTCCCATATCTCTCACTCCAATATATTATGGCAGTGTGCAGATTTGGGACCAAGCCCTCTAAGTACCTTCCAGGTATATACTATTATCATGTACCTCTCTCTCCTCCACTCCAGTGAGTACATGTTCAA